TTTTTTTAATCCTTTAAATATATTTTGATATAAAAACAAGCCCACGTATGATGAGTGTTTGGGAACTGCCTCTAAACCTTTTCGTGTTCGTTATTGTCCCGCCTCTCTTTTCCTGTTCCTCTTCATGGATAAAAAAAAAATCCCAGTCTCTGATGGTGGAAATTGAGGTGGAGGAGACGGCTCAAAAGAAAAAAAAATGGTTTGATATCCTCCCTGAAATAAAAAGGAAAGCAATAAAAAAGATTTCCTTAAAAAAAGCAATAAAAAAGCAAAAGAAAGCAGTCCAGGTGGAGGAGCAGATCCTGGAGCTCTGGAGACTGGAGGCACTTTTCTCAGATTTAAAGCCCCACATCTGACACAAACCTGGGGGAAGGATTCATGCAGAGATCCAGGAATGATGATGAAGATGAGGGGAGGAGGAAGAGCACCTGACAAACGTGGAGGAAAAGGCCCAGCCTCTCCAGGTATAATGCCGAGTTCAGGAGAGGAGGAACGAAAAGAGGCGGAGGACAAACTTGGACCCAAAGAGAGACGGCAGGTAACGGTTTGTTTCCAGGTCATCGAGTCCTGAACCTGGAGATGTTGAAGACCCCAAAGCTTAATGATATAAACGTTTAGGAGGGTCCCCAGCTCATAGAAACTACCGGATGCTAACCTGCAGTTTGCACCATTAGCATGAAGTGTGTGAATTAGCATCGATTAGAACTTAATGTGGACTATAGTTAGAAAATGGTTTTACAGATTTGGTCATTAATCTGTGGTTTTGAGGGTTATTGAGGGGTCTACAATGTCAACCAGAAAGGGGCCTTTGTACTCTAAACGTAGCTTCTATGTGCTGGAGACCCCTACTCTACATTTCTAACATAACACTTTGGGGTACTCAACATCTCCGAGTTCACACGGCTGGCAAGTAGACTATAAAGAGGGAGGAGCTTAACGACACAAACAGGAAACAGTCCTCGTGGGCGGAGGTCAGGGGGGGGGGAAGATGTTGTGGTCCCGCTTCTTCTTCCTCTTCCTCCTCCTCCTCTTCTTCCTCCTCTTCAGCATCCACAATAACCTCCAAAACCACTCCAAAATAGTTCAATTGTTCCACATAAGTCTATGATGCTAATTGCCCAACATATGCAGGTTAGCATCCGGCAGTTTCTGTGTGCTGGAGACCCTAAGGTGAAACTTTGGGGTACTTAACATTTCCGGGTTCACAAAGTGGCTAGTAGAGCTCCTGTCCTCAATAACTCGCAAAACCACTTAAAAATTGTCCAAATTGTCCAATTTTCCACATAAGTCTATGATGGTAACTGTGTATATTCTTCTTGTCCCCCCCCCCCCTCACAGGTACAGCTCCTTGGCTCTGATGTGCTGCAGTTTGTCCCTCAGCATGTGGAAAGATGGCCGCACCACAGAGTCCAGGGTCCAGCACTGCTTCATCAGGTCGTAGACCACCGGGGGGCAGCCGTCAGGGGCGTCCATTTTGTATCCCTTCTCCACCCGGGGCACCACCTCCTTCAGAGGCTGGGGAGAGATGCAATATACAGACGGGTCAGATAAGAGTGAGAGAGAGAGAGATACAAAATACAGACGGGTCAGATAAGAGTGAGAGAGAGAGAGATACAAAATACAGACTGATCAGATAAGAGTGAGAGAGAGAGAGATACAAAATACAGACGGGTCAGATAAGAGTGAGAGAGAGAGAGATACAAAATACAGACGGGTCAGATAAATGCAGAATAAAGGGAGTCTGCCCTCTGCTGGTGGAGCTCGTTTTAAATTAAATAACACATTCCCTTTATTATATATATTGTGGAGGGATGAACCCCTCTGTCACACATGCAGAGCAGACAGCACACACAGTGACACGTGTTCTCNATGTTCCTCTCTTTCTCCAGCGGTGTCATTATTTAAAAACACAGCTCAGTAAACCAGTGCAGAATAAAGGGAGTCTGCCCTCTGCTGGTGGAGCTCGTTTTAAATTAAATAACACAATCCCTTTATTATATATATTGGGGAGGGGTGAACCCCTCTGTAAAGGTCACACATACAGACAGCACACACAGTGACACGTGTTCTCTGCTTTAACCCATCCTAGCACCAGGAGTCTGGAACCAGGAGTCTAGTACCAGGAGTCTGGAACCAGGAGTCTAGTACCAGGAGTCTGGAACCAGGAGTCTGGAACCAGGAGTCTGGAACCAGGAGTCTGGAACCAGGAGTCTACCACCAGGAGTCTGGTACCAGGAGTCTAGCACCAGGAGTCTGGAACCAGGAGTCTGGAACCAGGAGTCTAGTACCAGGAGTCTAGCACCAGGAGTCTAGTACCAGGAGTCTGGAACCAGGAGTCTAGCACCAGGAGTCTAGCACCAGGAGTCTGGCACCAGGAGTCTAGCACCAGGAGTCTAGCACCAGGAGTCTAGCACCAGGAGTCTAGCACCAGGAGTCTGGAACCAGGAGTCTAGCACCAGGAGTCTAGCACCAGGAGTCTAGCACCAGGAGTCTGGAACCAGGAGTCTAGCACCAGGAGTCTAGCACCAGGAGTCTGGAACCAGGAGTCTAGCACCAGGAGTCTCGCACCAGGAGTCTAGTACCAGGAGTCTGGAACCAGGAGTCTAGCACCAGGAGTCTAGTACCAGGAGTCTAGAACCAGGAGTCTAGCACCAGGAGTCTGGAACCAGGAGTCTAGCACCAGGAGTCTAGCACCAGGAGTCTAGTACCAGGAGTCTGGAACCAGGAGTCTAGCACCAGGAGTCTAGTACCAGGAGTCTGGAACCAGGAGTCTAGCACCAGGAGTCTAGCACCAGGAGTCTAGCACCAGGAGTCTAGCACCAGGAGTCTAGCACCAGGAGTCTAGCAACAGGAGTCTGGAACCAGGAGTCTGGAACCAGGAGTCTAGTACCAGGAGTCTAGCACCAGTGGGTAAGGGGGATGTCCGGTGCCTTGCTCAAGGGCACCACGGCAGGGCAGGAGGTGAACTGGGACCTCTCCAAGTAGCAGTCCCATCCATACTTTAGGTCTGGTCGGGGACTTGAACCGGCGACCCTGCGGCTCACAGTCCAAGCCCCTACTGACTGACTGACTGAGCCACTGCCGGTATTACATGGTCTTCTTAAAAATAGGAATACAACTTTACAAGTAAGAGTACTCTTTAAAAAATGTATTACTACATAAAAAAGGGCCCCTAAGTGTGTGAGCATTAGCGTACTCAAAGTAAAAGTACTAGTGGCCCCATTGAGTGTAATGATCATTCATTATATTATTATTTTTACTGGTACATGAATGTGTAAGTAGCATTTCTTATATTATATTTAAACATGTATTTATTGATTTTTCTACATCTATCACATTACACAAACACAACTGAACATTAGACGTTGTAGTGCATTGACGAAAAGCTCAAATAAACCATTTTATATACAGTTTGTTCTTTAATTACTGTATAATATTGCATCCATCCTTCTATCCTTCGTTCCAAACCATTAATAGAAGTGTGTCCCCTCTTCCACCTAAACACTAACACTTTCTCTAGCGGTTAAAAGCTGTGATGGTGCGTTCAGGTACTCACAATTCTGGGGTAAGGCACGCGCCCAAAGGAGTAAATCTCCCAAAGTAAGATCCCGTAACTCCAGACGTCAGACTTGGTGGAAAACCTCTGGAGAACAGAAGAAAGGGAGGACAGAATTCACAAATCAGATATTCATTCAGAGAGCAAAGCAGGTACTTTCCTCCATAAAGAAAGAGTCTTTATCAACTCAGGTGTTTTCCTTAGTAATCATATAAACACATAAAGAAGTCAAAGTAGAAACACCACATTACAGAAGTATTATCAACAAAACATGCCTGATTTATTACAAATAAAAGGCTCTTTTTACAACGTATATAATCAGAATATAGCTTTTTAATGTGGAGGTTTAAGTGGGTCAGAGTCTGGGTACTTTGTGTTCTGCTGCGTAGTACTTAAGTACCACATTATATCCTATCAGCAAATTACACACAAATACATCTTTGTACACAGAAAAAGTATTTCATCTTATACTGTATGGAAGTGTTTTAAATGTCTATTAGGGCTGCTCAATTAATCGTATTTTAATCGCGATTATGGCTGGCAACGATTAAAGTTCAGGGAATCACTGTTAAAAACACATTTCTCCATAAATGATCCAGGAGTCTGGAACCAGGAGTCTAGTAGCAGGAGTCTAGTAGCAGGAGTCTAGCACCAGGAGTCTGGAACCAGGAGTCTAGTAGCAGGAGTCTAGCACCAGGAGTCTGGAACCAGGAGTCTAGCACCAGGAGTCTAGCA